TTTTTCTTCATAGTGTAGACGACTTGGCATTTATGATGGGGGGATGTATTTTCCAGGCACATAGTTCAATTCTATGCCACAATCAAGTGTGTTACCTTCGGTCTTTCTGAAAAAGTTTCATATGTCAAAAATAAATTTTATTTTGCATCACTGTAATATGAAAACATTTGGGCACCCTTGTTAATTTTCCTGATTTACCTTTATAAATCATTGATTGTTTGGATAAAAACATCGGTTAAATGTATCATATAGGAGACAAACACAGTGATATTTGAGAAGTGAAATGAAGTTGATATGATTTACAGAAAGTGTGCAATAATTGGTTAAACAAAATTAGGTAGGTGCATAAATTTGGGCACCGTTGCCATTTTATTGATTTCAGAACCTTTAGAACTAATTACTGGAACTTAAATTTAGTTTGGTAAGTTCAGAGACCCTTGACCTCCATACACAGGTGACTCCAGTTATGAGAAAGAGTATTTAAGGGAGCAGTTGTAAGTTTTTCTCCTCTTTGTATCTTCTCTGAAAAGTGGCAGCACGGGAGTCTGAAAACAACTTTCAAATGAGCTGAAAACAAAGATTGTTCWCCGTCATGGTTTAGGGGAAGGATACAGAAAGTTATCTCAGAGATTTCAGCTTTCAGTCTCCACTGTGAGAAACAGTGAGAAAATGGAGGACCACAGACACAGTTCAAGTCAAGGCTGGAAGTGGCAGAGCAAGAAAAATCTGGAATAAACAGAAGTGAAGGATGTTGAGAACAGTCAGAGTCAACCCACAGACCAGCACCAAAGACCTACAACATCATCTTGCTGCTGATGGAGTTACTGTGCATCGTTCAACTATTCAGCACACTTTACACAAGGAGATGCTGTATGGGAGAGCGATGCAGAGGAAGACTTTTCTCCACTCACATCACAAACAGAGCCACTTGAGGTTTGCTAAAGCACATTTGGACAAGCCAGCTTCATTTTGGAATAAGGTTCTGTGGACTGATGAAACTAAAATAGAGTTATTTGGGCAGAACAAGGGCCGTTCTGCATGGAGGAAAAAGAATACAGCACTCCAAGAAAAACACCTACAGTAAAATATGGGGGTGGTTCCATCATGCTGTGGGGCTGTGTGACCAGTACAGGGACTGGGATTCTTGTTAAAGTAGAGAGATGCATGGATTCCAATCAATATCAGCAGATTCTGGAGACCAATGTCCAGGAATCAGTGACAAAGCCGAAGCTGCTGAAGCCGGGGCTGGATCTTCCAACAAGACAACGACCCTAAACACTGCTCAAAATCTACTAAGGCATTCATGCATAAGAACAAGTACAACGTTCTGGAATGGCCATCTCAGTCCTCAGACCTGAATTTTATTGAAAATCTGTGATGTCACTTAAAGAGAGCTGTCCTTTCTCAGAAACCATCAAACCTGAATGAAGTAGAGATGTTTTGTAAAGAAGAATGGTCTAAAATACCTTCAACCACAATCCAGACTCTCGTTAGAAGCTGTAGGAAGCGTTTAGAGAATGTTATTTCTGTGAAAAGAGGAGCTACTAAATATTGAGTTAAGGTTTTTTTGTGCCCAAATTTATGCACCTGCCTAATTTTGTTTACCAATTATTGCACACTTTCTGTAATTCATTTAGATTTCATTTCACTTCTCAAATATCACTGTGTTTGTCCTCTATATGATATATTTAACTGAGTTTTTTTAATCCAAACAATCAATGATTTATAAAGTTAAATCATGAAAATTAACAAGGCTGCCCAAACTTTTTCATATGACTGTATCTAAATGCCTTTAAAATGGCCTCTGACTCTTTAAAAACCTCCTTCCATTTTGGACACTCCCACTTCAGCAGGTTTTCACAACAATGCGTCTGGGGAGGGGTGCTCTGTGGAGCGGGAGCTCGGCTGCAGACTGAGCTCCAGGGAGGAGCTTTGTGTAAATAGGTGGAGCTTTGTACCAGCAAGCATTCAGGCAGCTCCACATGGCCAGCACATGAGATTCAAGGATTTTTAAAACAAACATGAATGAGTGAAAGCAACACTCTGGGTATGTTTTTGATAAGGGAATGCCATTACAACATGACATAAAGCTAAAAAAATAATTTTTTCATAATACAACCCCTCCACCCAAATTCTGATTCAACTGACCAGCGAACATTTTTTTTTCTTTGTACATTTTCAAGAGCTCTGACTCAGAGAAGATGGCTGCATCTCTGGATGATGTTCACATGGCTTTTTAACTTTCTTTTGCATCAGCTTTAACCAGCAATTGTGAATGATGTCATGAATTTTGTTTACTGGCAATGATTTTTGGAAATATTCCTGAGCTTATACAGTGATAAGATAACCAGACATGTTTTTAATTGCATTGCTGACTGAGGGCCTTAAGATCACAGGCATCCAGTATTAACTTTCAGCTTTGTCCTTTGAGCTCAGAGATTTCTCCAAATTATTTGAGGTTTATGATGATTTTATGAACTGTAGACAATTTAATATTCAAAGATTTCCTTTTTTTCTGTTGGGAAACAATGGGCCTCATGCAAGAACATGTTCGTATTCTTATCCTAAATTTCTCTTACTTTTGTTCGTA